CGCCATCTCTGACGGGTCTCTCTACAAAACCAGTGACGACGGCATCACACAAAACCAACACCGAAAGTCAGGAAAAAACCGAGAAAAATTGACAACACAGATCAGATATAAATGTTTGTCCGTGCGCCACGGGTCGATGTCGCCCGCATGCTCCGGTGCCATTGCTCCATCCGGCGCCGCTGTAGTCAGCCCGAGCAAAACGTCACTCGACCTGCTCCGTCCGTACACGCTCTCGTTGCTGTCCTTCCCAGTCGGTTCCTCGCTTTCTCCCTCATTGCACTCAAGGTTCTTGGTCTGAAAAAAATAAAAATTCTCGCGCCGAATGGTCAACCAGCCTAGTTCAGCTCGTCGCCACCTGCTCCCTCCTCCTTTGATGGCGAAGCCAGGTTACTGAGGCAATACAGCTCCCTCTAGCAAACCTAGGGCCGTGTAGTGCCCGTCCACCTTTCTGATGATGTCTGCCTCCGCGCACAAAAATGAGATGGGCATCACTGCCAACGCCGACGGCCAGAAAGGCCCGCGCATCTACATTTTCCCGCCTGACCCCATCAGTGCCGACCCAACTCCACCACCACACGCACGCCTCGCGGCGGAGATTGCGTACTGTTAATTCCGCCGCCGATCATCTCCGCACGAAGAGACTTTCGTCAAACGACTGCTGTTTTGGCACCTGAACACACATGTGGCTTCCAAGAACAGAGAGCCACATCACGGCACATGCACGTCGTGTCAGTTGGAGTAGGTGAGGGGCAGGCGACGAATTAGTTCCCTGCCGGAACACACACTTCGACACTGCTGGACGTTTTGTCAAATTCGACGAGCTCGACAAGCAAGCCTTGCCCCCTGCAACTCAACGGAAAAAGGCTCCGGGTGTGACCAGTTTTGGGCTCCGCTCAGATTGGACCCTCTCGCGTGTGTGTAGGTTGCGCCACCAGCGTTGTGTGCATCTGGCGTGCTTATCGGACAGCGGCATGGAGGAACCCCTGGCATCGAGCGATCGCCTCAGAAGCAGTGAAAGAGGGGCGGAAGGTGTGGCCTGGCAACCTGCGGAAGAGAGTAGAGGTGAGGTGATTGAACCGCGAAGAGCGCAACAAACAGCAGCCGTGACGAACTAGAAAAACGGAAGCTCGCCGTCTGCTGCATAACACCGCAATTGCACACCGTAGGCGTGTGATCCAAGGATTGCGACGCGTTGTGTAGCCTTTCCACGATTCAGTAACGCCCCTCGGGTGGAACGGGGCCAAGGCACAGCAGACACCCAATACCTGTGAGATGAAGATATCTTCAATTTTTTCGAGAGGTGCATCAACCGCCCGCGAGCGGATGCACCTATTATGCTTGTAGAGGATCAAACAATACTTGTAGAGGATTAAAGGATACAACCTGTTCACCTGTTACGTTTTGTGGACATGGCGTCGAGCTTCAAACACAAACACCACTGAGGGTTTCGGTGGCGCATCGTACAGACATGGCAGTTTTCGTCGTGAGGTGTCACAGCAGTTGTGTTGTGGGGTACATACTTTTAGAGGATCAAACAATAGTCTATTTGTTTCTCCTAATAGTCTACTTGCAGAGGATCAAAGGATTACCGTATATGACACAAGGTAACACAACCCCTGGACCGATTTTCAAAGCTCGATTACTCCACGAAGAGGATGCATAAACGAAACGATACATTTTCGAAAAGCTCCCGACGAGACGGTTTCAACGCCGCCATTTTCGGCGCTGTGACTGTTCCTGCAGTTGAGAAATCGAGCTTCGAAAATTGGTCAAGGGGTGTTGTTGTTGTTGTTGTTGTTGTTTCTCACATAAGCTCTACAAGCAGTGTAGTCAACAAAAAATGGGGAGCCCGTGGTCTCAAAACCCGGCACATACGATGCCGCGAGGAAACAAAACAAAAATAGGGTACACACCACTCGGAACAAAAAAACAAAAGACTTATTTCTATAGATGGAGATGGATTTGTTGTGTGATATTAAGAAGAAAAAAAAATGATAAAAAGAAAAGAACAGGTATCGCACCGACCGTTCGAGAAAAGGCCCTCGGAAACCGATCAAGATAAAACAAAAACAAAAATAAAGGAGGACGCTTCCCACACCCGCCCAAAGAAAAAATCAAAGGGCAACGTACCAGCACCAGGCACTACGCACCAGGGCATGGGAGTAACGGAGCAAACAGGACAAA